CTGCCCGAGCCCGATATGCCCACCTAATGCCTTCAGCACTTCTTTACCGCCCGCCCTAGTGATATCCAGCTCGCGTACATCACCCATCTTGCTGAACAAATCAGCCACCAGAGTCGTGGAAGTGGGCCATCCCCCGAACGTAAACGCTCGAAGATTTTGCAGCATATCATGTCGACCGATGACGAATTGAATATCGGCGTCTGTGCCAACGTCCAGCTGAAGGCTGGTGACCGACGGGAATCGCAGTGTCGAGAGTAATGGGTACATTTGGGCCGACGTGTGTGGTGGGTAGGCGCAGAACTCTAATTCCAGGGCGTTAACTTGCCGGAGCTCTATCAAGGCAGTGGGATGTGGTGTCTGGTCTCTGAGACCAACCGCCTTGAGCCTCAATTTTTTCAACTGTGGGGTGTTCAGCAGCAGCGAACGCAACTGGTGGTACGACGGCCATGCTTGTTCGTGGGGTCTGTCGAGACCTATGTACTCCAGGTTCGGCATGATGCAGCTGGAGCCCCAATCGAGAGATACGCCAAACAGGTCCAGGCTACGCAAAAGTGGCAGCCGTGGCTTGAAGAGCAGTGGTGGGTGGTGTCGAAGGTTGCGATTAAGACACCATACGCTGAGAGCTGTTACGGCCATCTCTTCCGTATCCGCTATCAAACCAAGTATCGCTGCAACCGTAGGGTAGTGATTGGTATGGATGCTGAGGGTCTCCCAGCGCAGTACGGACGGCATGATAGAGGCCGTTAGTCCCACTATGTGCTGGAACTTTGACTCCGCTTCCGCTTGGTCGACTGATCCCGGGCTGAGCTGGATCTCGATGGCCAGCGGGCGGGTGTCCGAACGTTGCAGAAACAAGTCGACGTGTTCTGTAGTGGTCAAAGGCGCTACCAGGAGAGAATGCCACATGCTTGGGGTGGCGTTTGCAACATCTCTCCAAAACAAGCAGACAGCGGTAAGCCTGTAGCAGGCAATGCGGAAAGCCTTTGTCATGGGGTCATGGTCGTCGCACACAATTGTGAATATTTCGGATAGTAGTTCGGGCGGGAGGCTCTTCGACATTTGCAAAGATCAAGCTGTGTAAGCGAGTTCATGTAGTAATACCCGGATCCGGCACGGCCATCTTGTGCTCGACTGCCATGTCTGTCCCACCTCGCTGTAATGCTAGGTTCCCTCGCTCTTTGGGCAACCATGGTGGAACTATCGCTGCTCACCGCAACGGTGATTTAACCCATTCTCCATACTTGCCTTGAAGGTGCTGATTTTAATTTAAACAGAAGATGTAACAGCCTTGCCTGTCGGCGCGCCAGCGCATCGCGCCATCATCTACTATGTCACCTCTTATGTGGCTATGAGATCTACGTCTACCCGCTCCTCCGCTTTGACCCATCGCGCTCGACCTTTCGCCGGCCCTTTGAAGTCGAAACTCTGAGGCTCACCAGGTGCGGATGAATCTCCTTCTCCGGTCCATTTGCTAATCGCCAACTCAGTAGTCTGCTCTGTGCTCGATTATTTACTGGGTTGTCGATCCCGCATTTGTCCTCCCATTATATTTGTCGATGGGCTTTTGTTGCCGTTTGTTCCTGCTCCCACCTCGCCAGGGTCTAGCTACCGGTGTTCACACACGATGGATACTCTCGGTCGTCGTGTATCAATCTTCGTGGCGTACTCTCAGATCTGGGCTTGCCCGATCCTTCCCGTTTCGTCCGGACATACGTATAAATGCCGTTGCAATTCGTCGTCGCCCCCTTGTCTGCGTCGATGCCAAAAGTTCGCCGTTGTGCGTCGCCCTCTTATTGTTTTGAGTATTTTCTAACATCTGTTGCAGCTTCGTCGAATTTCGACCGCCTCCCTAACGAGCTTTGGCGGCTGATTTTCGACTCCACGTTACTGGGAGATCGTCGTAATCGCCTTTTCTGGCTGACCAAGATTTGTCTGTGCTCGACAGACTGGATGGTTTTTGTGGAGTTGGTTCCCGAATATTGGCAGTATATCGTCGTGAACAGCTCCAGTGATCCCACCTCCACGTTGCGGTTCATCGGCCTCGCCCAAGCTCTCCCTCTTCAGATCCGCATCGTGCTCAAGTCAGCCGGTGCCGTTCTTTCCTTGGTCTATCTGGCGCCTTTCCTCCTTCGTGCCGTATGGCTTACGATTGAATCCGACCGTGCAGATACCTTGCTCCGTCTCCGGCAGACATTCCAGGGACTTTCTGCACCCGCCCTCACTTACTTTGCAGCTAGTCTGCATCATGTTCCCGCCAATTACGCTCACTTCGTGCTCCCCCCCCTCATCCCTCGTCCCTGGTTCGATGGCACGCACGCGTCTTTGGTGGCTCTGCACCTCAATTGTATCCCCATACCATTTACGAGCGTCGACTTCCCGTCTCTCCGCGAGGTGTTCCTTTCAGGACGGCACTACCGATACGGTGTTTACGCTTCTAGGCTCCGCGCCCTCATATCCAACTCCCCGTTGCTCAAATCCGTCTCCATCCGTCGCTTCCACTGCGAGGGTGTGCTGCCTCCATCGCTTCCCCTCGTCATCCGCTCGTCTTCCGTTGAGGAGTTGGACATAACGTTCTGCGATGACGACTCCACCATGCTCCTCGCCTCCTCCTTCGATTTCCCGGGCCTCTACAAGCTCACCGTCGATGTCGGCTCATCGTCGGACGCCGACAGCCTCTTCTCTCTCCCGTCTGCTACGTTGTCCACAGTGACCACTTTGGTCCTACGACACAAGCGCGTGCGCAGCGATTCATTCAATTTGTTCTCGTCGGCTCGGCTCGTGCGGTTCTACAACGTCACGTCCCTTGACATTCGTGCGTGTCGCTCCTGGGACTTCAGCGACCTGCTCTCTTCCGCGAGGCAGTACTCAGCCGTCACGGGCGTCCAAGTCCTCCCCAATTTGGCTTCCCTTACTGTTGGTTGTGTTCCATCGCAGGACCTCGTATCATTTGCGAAAATATACGGAGCATGCGAGGACAGCAATGGAAGGCACTCGGTTCTACGTCGCATTCGGTCCTCCGCTTGCAGAGACAGACCTTTACGTTCTGTAGTCGTTTCCAGCCGTCAATGGCTGGCGTCTCATGTGCTCGACTTTGCAGTAGATTTCTCTATGTGTAGGCACGGGCCTGCATAATTAACTGATTACCGCAGTGTTGTACTTCCTCGTTGAAATTTATCCACAGCCGCAAACCCACTTTGTCCCTTGTCTTCGCTACACTCATGTTTTCTATGTCCGACTCGATATGCCTTTATCGTTATTCGGCGGGGGAGGCTCCCGATCACCGTCGTCCCCTTTTAGACATTCCCTTCCTTCTTCCCAGATCTCATTTTCAGAGATCGTCCGCTCCCTATAAGTACCCGCTCTGCAGCCATGTTTTGTTGCCCGTCCCTTTCTCCCTCCAGATGGCCACCCAGCGCACATGTGAGTATCTTTTTTGTGCTGATATCGTGACGAAAGCTTACGGTTCTTTACAGCCTCCTCCTTGTTCGACCGTCTTCCAAATGAATTATCCCGCATGATATTTCATCTAGCTCTTAGAAACCCAAAGCGTCGTGTTCGCTACCGAACCAAGTTTTGTTTCTGCTCGTCAGATTGGATGCGGTTCCTCATGTGCATTCCTGAACTTTGGTCCACCATCACGGTAGACAATGATGTCCCACCCTCCTTCGTCCTTCGCTTCATCGAGAACGCGGGTACCCTTCCCTTGGAATTTATCATCGTCCTCGACTCAGCCGATCCCGTCCTCTCCCTCGACTATTTGGCCCCTTTCATGCACCAGGTGGATGTGCTGAGGATCGAGTCTGACTTGGACGAGACTCTGTTTCGCTTGCGCCAGAGTTTCCACGCCCTTTCCGCTCCCAACGCGCGGGTTTTCACCATCAGCCTAAAGCGCATTCCCCGCTCAGGCCATCGCAGTCCTCCCCCTCCTCTCATAACGCTACCCTGGTTCCCTGGACCAGCCGCCGCTCTCACCTACATGGTCGTCGGCGCCTCCGCCGCGATCCCCTTCTACAACGTCGGGTTTCCTGCCCTTCGCCGTTTATGCATCTGGGGCTTTGACCCCAGGTACACAGTGGGCGCCGCCATGGTCAAAACGGTTATTCAGAGCAGTCCGGTCCTCAGAGTTCTTACCCTGCGCAGATTCTGCTGCACTGGCTTGACCGGCGACCTTCCTGTCATATACTCGTCTTCGGTCAAGGAGATAGAGCTCTCGTGGGCCTACGACAACTCTCTATCTCTTCTCGTCTCCAGCTTCGACTTTCCCCTCCTCACCAAGTTCACTGTCGACCTTTGCGGTCCGGATCACGTCCAGGACGTGTTGGCCGTCCCACTTTCGTTGTTCTCGACGGTCACCGACTTGATAGTCCTTAATCCTCGGAAACCGCAACGATCTTCTTACGTTCCGGCGACTCTCATGTTCCAGATGTTTCCTTCACTTACGTTTCTCGACCTCAGCGGCTCTCGCCCACCTCTTTTCCTCGAATTTTTTGACGCTGCTTCCGGCTTTGCTGCCTCCAATCATGGCGACAATCTCATTCCAGCGCTCCAGACGCTGTTGTTGCCCTCGGTGGACCCTGGAGACGTTATAGCCCTTACAAAGTTGTATGGCGCTCGGTCCTGGAGCGACGGAGCCGATCTCGTTCTACGTACAATCCAGGCTTCATGTTGTCTCTGCCCCCACAAAAACACTGGGACCGTTGCGTCGCAACGCTCTTGGTTATCGGCTCATATATCTAATTTCAATCTAGACTTACAAAGTTGTCCTAGGCCCAAAGCTTGTGCTTGGGCTGCAGAGAATCCCTCCGTCCTATGGTGAATGTGTATGGGCCAGCGCCGTGTTACCTGCTTCGTTACAGGCCTATGTTATTTTCTACGTTCGACGTTGCATACTGTATTTTACGGTGCCAAGTAGTCTCCAATGAAATGTCGTTTTCTACATCGCGATTGAATATATACACCAGAAAAGCGCCCCCTAAAAAATGACGCACATTACACACTAGATCCTGAAGCAGGACTTGAACCCGCAGCGCCTGCGTTCAACACTTCTTTTCGACCACTTTCTGCAGGCGTGTTTCCATTACACCATTCAAGATTACTATCTCTTGCATTACTTGGAAGTAATCTTACAAGCACCCTTTCTACTTGAACAATTCTGTGCGAATTCAGCCATCTTGCTATACCTCTCCAGCTCATATTTTTCCAGCTTTCCTTTCGATGTCTACAGTCCAACTTATCGTCGCACTGGCATTTGTTTTACCAGCGCTCCCCCCAGAACTGTTGCATGAAATCTTCGTGCACTTGTGCTTTTTGCACGAGCCGTCCTCGCGCGCTTTCGCCTCCGCCCGCACTTGCGTGTGTCTGGTCTCTCACTGTTGGCACGTCGTCGCCCTCTCAGCAACGAGCCTGTGGCGCGTCGTGCGCATCGACGAATTATCCACTGTGGACGGCCTGAACGCTTTTATTCGATGCTCTGGAAACAGGTCGCTTCTGGTAGCGGTCGATATTCCCTCCGCCTGGACGGCCAACCAGATCAACGTCATCGCCTCCGTTATTGCCTGCACTCGCGTTCTTCTCTCCACCGTTAATCGATGGGAAGCTCTGTCCGTTCGTGTCGACAACCTGCACCTTATTAGTGTCTTGTTCGAGCTCCTGTCCCCTCACGCGGCCCCCCTGCTCCGGGATTTTGGCGTCGCGGCTGAGGTTTACAACCCGGACCACCCTCTTTTCGACTCCGGCATCGTGGTTTTCCAGGGCAGTTGGGCGGGATTGATCAGCCTGCGTCTCAATGGTATTCCTATCCCCCCGGCGATGGCCCGGGCCCTGCCACGCCTCGTCAGCTTATCGTTGCATGCTCTGCCCGTGCATACATGGCCTTCTCACAGCGACTTCATCACGTTGCTCCGGAGTCCCGATCTACGCCACCTGTCGTTATACGATTTTGGCGTAGGTCACTATCCCTTGGGCCACCGCGTCGAGGACCTATCTCACATCGAAACGCTGGACTTACACTTGGGCAACGCGGACTCAGCGGGGACGTGTCACCTGTTGACTCACCTTTCCTTTTCGGCGCTCTCCTTCCTCCACATCTCTGTTCGCAGTTTGGTTGGACTTCGATATCTCATCGCCTCTGGCGTCACCTTTTCAGCCCCGCACGTACGGCTGACCGACCCCCTATATCACGAGCACTCGGTTTTGCTGTATTCGAAGCTCCGCGACGTTGCCACTCTCGACTTGCAACGCTGCGATTGGACGAAAGTCGATGCTCTAGCTCCTGCGCCTTCCCCAGAGCCCGGTTCCACTGAACCCCGTTCATCGCCGTTCTTTGTGCCGAAGTTTGTACTGCCAGTGCTCTCCCGCATGTACCTGCCTGCACCTGACTGGGTGGCTTTAGCTACCGTCCTCAATTCGAGGGCCGCTATAGGTGCTCCAGCTTTATCGTTTTTACGCTGTCTCCCCCCTCCCCCTTCCGTCCTTCTCTCGCTACAAGGTCCAGGGTCGCTGATTTCCACAAATCCGATATGCCCAGAGTCAATATCTTCCGCTCGACTATCTATCGTGGAAACATTGGACGATTTCGATTGGTCTCTCCCTCTTCTTAAAGCTCGAGCCCTTCCCTTCGCTACTTCGCCCGACTATGTTTCCTAGTTTGCTCAATTTACTTTTGTTTCAAGGCCTATGTACCGAAGCCCGATTAGCGGCGACCGAGCATCGAGTTCCGACACACAGCACTTTCATTGCAAAACTAAGGTATCCTCATCAAGTGCTCTACCGGCTGCCCTGCCTCTGCACAAGCTTTCCCTCCCAATCTCCATTGCACGTTGCACATCTCTGGATCTGCTGGCGCTTCGCCTGTCGTCGTCCCGTCAAGAGCAAAAAACATCCCCCAGCCGTCGTCCAGAGATCGCAATGTTGCTGGGCAGTTAGGGCTGACTCCGCACTCGTGGGCGCCCTCCTCGGTAATTTCATCTAACTAGCGACCGTTACTCGTGTTAAATCTCGCCGTCACGAGCTTGAGCAGCTCTCACCTTTGTCCCCGTCGTTATCCCCCTGGCATCGTATTTCTCGATGCATCGCGCCGTTCGCTCCGATTCGATTTCGTCCTGCAACGACGCTCCATTTACGATGCTCAGCTGCCTGAGCGTGAGTTCGGGATAGGCGCAGTAGATCCCTCTGTAGTATAAGATATTCATCACGACCGTCGAATGAAATTGGAAGACCGCCGCAGTTGCGTTCCGTCCCTTTACGACCATGAGGTTGATTCTCGTCCCTGCTTTGACAAACCACAGTATCCTCTTAATGGACAGGTGATCGGGGTAGCGTACATCCGTCTCCTTCACCAATGAGCAGCGGATTTCATCCTCCAAGAAATCAGTCATTCGGTCCTCCTCGTCTTCTGGACAATAGATATCGATGTCGTTCGGCTGAAAGTACGTGGGGGACAACACTGCGACGGTGACAGAACCAGCTATAATGCTCTCGCTGCGCTGCATTCCCTCCAGAATTTGATCTGCGTCGACTCCGCAGTCCTGCAGCGTTGAATAAATTCTTCTCTGCACTTCTGCATTCGCAGCTGCCACTGTGTATGCCCCGTAGTCAGTTCCCGCTGTGGTCCCGAATATCTACACATACCGGCGTTGGACATGTTTAGTCTGTTAACTTAATTACGCTGGTGCACAGAAATTAATCTTGATCCCGTGTGACGTAGACTGGAATGTGTTGTCTCCGCCGCTCTGCCGACTTGCTCCCTTGGATCCGATTGTGTTCTGGGTCGTTGCCAGTCGATTCTATTGGAACCTGTATATTCTGGCCTTCTGTTGGGGAACATGTTTCACGCGACTGTGGCGCGCGAATCTCCGAGCTCCGCTTGTTCTTGAAATCTCAACCTAGCTCTGGGTGTTCTGTCGCCATCGGGACTGGTCCAATTCCTCCTGTTACCCCGGTTTGCCCATTTCAATAGATTTGAATCTTGGTGCTCCCGCTTCTTGTCGCGTTGGTTTCTTGCGCTTCTCTCCACAGATCCCTCGGTCCATCTTTTTTTTTTTTTGTTTCATTTCCGAACCTCTGGACTTCCAGAACACCGTTTATGTCCCATCCACGCCCGTGGTCCCCATTTTATCCCCTTGCGTACCAGCAGGATCTTATCCGAACTATGCCGTGGTCTGAATTCAACAACATTCTGATGTCGGGTTCCACGCGTATTCCTGACAATACAGTCGCCGGCCAGGGTCTCCTGCGTAGACCAAACTCAGCATACTTTTTTCCCCCGCCCATCTGAAGCTTGTCCGGCGATGTATTTTGCTTCAGCACTTGCTAGACGTTTACAAACGGTGTCCTCGCGTCCCTTCGTTTACGCCTTGACGTCCCACGAACCTGGCATTGCTCCGTGCTCGCAAGGAGTGTTGTCGGGATACGGTTGGTCTCCCTTCTCTCTTCGTGGCCAAGGGGCTGACATTGTATTCAGTAGACGGAGAGTATTTTGTGTTGCTTTACGTTGGAAAGGTCCTGGCCAGGCTTCCGCTCGCGCTCGTCGCCTCTGTGGTCAACTCGCGCGCGTTGAGGCCGCGCTCTCGCAGCACGACCGCTGCTGACCGCTATGGCGGATCACCATCCCCCTATTCAGCCGCCCCTACCATGCATGATTTATTTCCTGCGACTACGCGCGAAGCGCTTGACTGTTTGTGGCTTGGCTTGGCTTTCTACGCGGTGATTAACGTGTTTTAATTTTTTAGATCTTACCTCTCACGTCGCCCCCCTCTTTGTCCATCGAGGGTCGAGGAGCCGCCCTATCCTCGTACTCGTCATCGGAGACATGGCCGGTTCGGGCAGGGTCGCTGCTTTGAACACCATAAATGCTTTCAGCGCGACGCAGGACGCATACGATGTCCTCTTGTTGGCGCCTACCGGTTCTTCAGCGGTCAGCCTGCTGAATGGAGACACCTACCATTCGGTGCTACGGGCTCACAAAAACTGCAAGCCTTGTAATGCCCATCGCCTTCAGGGTTTTTCAATGGACCGACGACCCGTTGCCATGTCTTCTCCGTGTTGGACCCCTTTCACGGACTATCGCAACACGGGAAAAACTCGCCAATGTGCTGTGAACAATATCACTGATACCCAGGCCAAGGGCGGATGTGTCGCGCTCACTGAGAATGGCTCCACAGGCAAAAGTCGCCACAGTCCCTCGATTGCGCCTGACTTCTACCATGGCTGCTCCCCAATTCGTTCCAGTCGCTTGGCAAAATTGTGACGCGCGTGTTGGCTTCTGGTATGTGGATACACGTTACTTTGTGCCTGCTGTTCAACGATTCGCAGCCATCGCTTGAGACATCAAAAATTCGAAATGGCGGATGCGCCAATTTGTTGATGTATATTATTAACGACTTTGCTCTCCTCCCTTGCTATACGTTCCGTTCGTTTCATCTATTCGCTCTACCGTCGGTTTACAACGCGTGTACTCTCATTTGAAATAACCTTGGAACTTTCCTCTCGCGTACCAAGGGCAGAACCTTGGCGACCAAGGCAAATACTCTCCGTCAATGGTTTGCATCCTTCGGACGGGACAGCCTTCCCTCACATCGAAGTTGTACCACTCTAGCGGAATCTCGATCGAGAGGTCGTCACTTTTCTTTTTCAGGGCCACCTTGGCCAACTTGTAAACTTCCAGAGACGCTTGAGCGTCTAATCCGGCGTCTAGTTATCTGTCAGCCTGAAATTCGCGCGCAGGTGGAAAAGTGGCCCGTACATTTTATGTGCAGCGGGGTTATCTCCGTCGCCCAATCGCTTTGCTGAAGTTCTTTGTCCAGCCTGCGATGGAGGAGGTCCTGAACGCATGCCTCCAGGCTGAGCGGTCCTTGGTCGAGTTCTTTGTACCGCTCGGGGTTCGAGAGCTTGGTCATCAAACCCACGTCCACGAGATTCTGGACGGTGGCGCGTACACCGTCCCAAAGGACCTTGCCGTCGCTCACGAGTCCTACACCCACCTTTGCGATGTGCGGCGAATCCAGCACCCGCTCGACCTGGAGAGGAAACGCTGGTTGCGGACACTTCAGATGCTGATTTCTAGGCATACATGACGACTCACTTCTCATCCTT